TACCAGGAAATTTTCATTGCTTCTTACTCTCTGCAATCCTTACTGAACAGTCATATACTATTTAGTAATGTGAACTTTGTTCCTTGCTTCCTACCTGGTGTATGTCTTAACTTCCATTTTCTTGGTCTGGCCATCTAGGGCCTCTGGGCTGTATGTCTTGTAATCATTCAACCCTGGTTCTCTTCTTTCACCATCTTCTTTTTGGCTTTTATGTGTGTGTTCACCCTGATCCACCCCAATACTTGCTTATAGCCTATTGTTAATAGGGAAATTGAAGTATTGCTTACTTATGTGCCTGTTTTAAAACTATATTTTGCTTCCTTTCTCTTGCATTGGTGCTGTTTTTTGTTTGTTAGTGCCTAAACCACACAGCATGGTGGCAACTAATCTGAAGTTATTTCCATTAAGCCATTGGCTTTATACATTGTGGTTATTAACTTGTTGTAAGATATGCAGTATATCATGTCATACACTTTTAACTTTTTCATTTGGAAATATTAATAGGAGTATGCACGCGGATATGTAGTTAGTTAGTGACATACTCAGGCGGCGGTAAATGTTGGGTCTAACTCTCTACTATCAGCCTTATCCTATTTGGGTGTCTTATGGGAATTAACTTTGATATATCACGTCATTCTTTTACCTTTTCATTTGATATATCATGTCATTCTTTGATAGGACTATCCCGATATATGGTTAGAGATATACTACCAGGCAGTTAATGTTGGGGCTAACTCTCTACTGTCCTTAGCTTAATAGTCTTACTCCTGGATTCCAACAAAGCATGTCTTTACTCCGTTTTCCTTGGTCCTGGCTTAATGTCTTTCAATTCTTCAATCATGTTCTTTTGCTGTCTCCATCATTTTTTTTTTTACTCTTTTCAGTGTCCTCATTCTGAATCATCCCAGTGCTTGCAGTTGAGTTGTCCTTTAAGAGAATAGTTGTTTTCATGGGGGTGATAAAGATGTTCCGATTTGTCAAGTGCCTGATTTATGCTTATATTTTTCCTCCCACTCCCTTATCTTGGTTCTTCAATTTTTTTTTTTTCAATTCAACCTTATTCTTTCACAACAAAGCTTACCGAGGACTTATCTTATATCTAAAACCTTCAATGTCTTCGCTGCAACAATTCACAAAGGCAAGTTATAGTACAGATGTTCAGATATGTTTCTGGATAATGAACTGGATGTTCACATGGTAAAATTGGATCATATAGATTTTGTAATTGTCTGACTGGGAAAAAAAAAAAAAAAGAAGAAGAAACATTTTGTAATCTGTACTCTTGTCAATAAGGTGCCTGAACAGTTTCATTATAGAGCCCTTATATAATATTCTTTTTCTGAATTTATATTAGGAAAGAACGGAAGATTTTAGTTGTGTTAAGGAGACTGAAGGAGAAATTCGTCATTCCCAGGTAACTGAAAAGATTATGTGCAATTCTGAGATTGAAGGTTCTTTGTCTTCTGGTTCTTGTCCAAATGATTGTCTAGAAGATACGTGTCTGAATAGTGCACAGCCATTGGAACGTGAAAATGCTCGATCAGGTGAACCTTTTTTTGGCTTCATTATATCTAGGTTTACAGTACATCATAAATTGCTAATCTATTCAATAGAGAAAAAGTAAGATAGTTTCTGGATGATAAATGCATTAGTGTCTTTAATATTCTACTGAACAGATAGTTTTCATGAAAAATTTTCAGCCATTCCTGGAATAGATTTGGCCCCCACTCAATCAGACAAGTGCAAAAGTGATAATGATGCTGAAGCAATGGATAACTCGTTGTTGGAAACCATTAAATTTGAATTATTGAAAGATGATTCTGAAAGTTGTCCTTGTAGTGAATCCATGGAGGATCAATCATTGTCTTCCTTCTC